GCAATGCCAAGTCATTTGAAAATTAATTTGAGACTTTAATTATTGATTAGGATAATTAATTTATTAATATTATTTTCATTAATAAATAAATAAATTATTAATTTTTATATTTAATTAATTAATTAAAATTTTAAATCAAACACTTTGGGCCTAACTTTTTTGTCCCATGTCTTTGGTCCATCTTTTTAACACAATTGATTTGTTGTGTTTGTGTAAGATATATAAACTCTAACAACATTTGTAATGAAAACAATGTGAGACTACTATAACACCATATACTAGTATGATATGTTATCTATCTCATCTTTTCACCCTCTTCCTGTAGCTCTCTCTCTCCATAATTAATATCACTTAAAATACGGTTGAATAAAAGAGTTTCTGCAAGTATGTAAGAATCTCTTTTATTAAAATAATTTGTACTTTATTGATTTTGCTTCTTATTTCTCACAAGAGTCTTATTATTGATGTGATAACATTGAATAATTATGTTGAAGTATTTCTATAGAGTTTATTTTTCCTGATATTAGATAAATCTTAGGAACCTAAATCACTTAATTATGTACCTAAAAGAAAATATTTATACAGTTTACTCTTACAAAACATATTTGATTTTTACAAAGTAACTTGTTTTTCTTGGCAGCTTTTATTTGATAATATTTATTCAAAACATAACTGATTTCGCAAGAAAATAACCACATACCTGAATTAATAACCTCCTGAGTGTTATTTTACAATGTGTGTTTCCATTCGGAATACAATATTCTATGTTTAGTTGGGTGAAAGATACTTTTTTATTCCTTATGAGGCATATCAGTTGTACTCTAAGGTTGTACTTTGAGATTGTTAGAACACAGATTGGTTCTTAATAATATCTCTATGTTTTGATGATAACTATTATGAAATTTTGTAATTAAGAATTATATACTCTAAAATCTGCTTAAGAGTGTTTGCTGCAGATATTAAAGTAATTATCACTCCAGAAGCAAATCAGAATTGAACTTAAGAAATATGCTAGACTCTGAAGCGTCAGATGCATCCATTAGAAGATTCTGAACGCTGCCATCAGAAGATCCTGAGCGTAGCCTCCAGAAGTATCTGAAGCAGAAGCTCCAAAAAGATCTGAAGCAGAAGCTCTAGAAGAATCTGAAGCAAGTTAGAAGCATCTGAACCAAAGAATAATTCTGTATGAAGAGTTTTCAAGCATAGTTACTACAGAAGATTATGAAAGTACTAAAGCTGCCAGTACTGAGGATCTGACTCAAATATGCTCTGAACTTATACACGCTAAAAGCACACCTGCTGCAAAGACTCTGATTCAGCAAAACTCTGATCAACATTAGAACGCTCTGATCAAATTAGACTCTGATGATTATTGTTGAAAATTGATGAAGAAGAATTCAAAGATTATGTCCGTTGGAATATCCAAACGACTCTTTCCTTATTTATGTTAGACACAAGAACACAGACAAAAAGGATTTCTCTGTGCTTTCTTCTTCTAGGAAAGGTCACTTGATGTGAAGACAAAAAGGCTCATACCTTTTGGTACACTCTTCTCAACGTGAAATACTCTTGGATCAATGTGCCTATAAAAGCAAGTCTCCAACCATCTTCTTCAGTTGACGTTTTACCTAAAAAGAATTCAATATCCAAAGCTCTCATATAATTCATATTCTTTCTAGAATTAATTTCTTTGTTCTTAATATTAAGTGAAAAATCACAGTTGTGATAAAGCTTTATTAGAAGCAATTTAAACACTTGTATTTGTTATTACATTTGATTGCAAGAAAACCTTAAGAAGATCCAGTTAGGATCAGTAGTTCTTGAGAAGACTTTGAACAGTTGTTCTTAGTGCTTACTATTGTAATTAGTTGATTAAACAGTGGATTAAGTACTTGTTTGAGAAAGGCAAATCACTCTAGGAAGGGTGGACTTGAGTAGTTGAGTTCAACGAACCAGGATAAAAATACTTGAGTTTTTATTTCTAAGTTTTTATCTTCATACTTATTCAACCCCCCTTCTAAGTATTTTCTCACCTTCAGAGATCATATATACCACATGTCTTTGCAATTTTCTAACATATCAAAGATTGCAATGTGACAGCAGCAGTTACTATTTATAATTTTTATTTAGGATAATAGATACATGTTGATCTCATAATGGTTTGAAATTGCGACTGCAAATTGCATTTATGCTTTGAACTTTATTATTCCTATCATAGTTCTAAATTGCAGTCCCAAATTAATTTTAAAATGACTTAGAATTGCCACGTTATCTTGGATAGCGCCACATCATTAAAAAATATCATAAATTGGAGAGGAGACTAAAATCAAACTCAAAACTTAAAAATGGACCAAAATTGTAATTTTTAAAATGGAGGGATCAAAACTCAAAATTGTAATTCGGGAGACAACTCTCCATAATAATTCGGGAGACTCACTCCACTATCATTTTATTTTGTCATTAAAGACACAACCGTCGCCAATCCAGGCCAAATGATATGCTATGAGATGCAACAATTATGGACTATAACACAACAACAACAACTGTGCAACAACCGTGCAACAAGGCATCAAGCCTACAATCAATTATCTATAACAGAACATCACATTTTGTATATATTATGGACTCACCATTTCAATCTATTCATATCATAGAACTACCAACAGTATCGTTCCTACGAATAAGACTCTAACACATTTTCGCAGAGAACAATTAAAAATAACCTCGTCTCTAAAATTGAGAACTCAACAGCATTTTCATGTCAGAGAACAACTGACAACATCATTACTACAAATAAGGACTCAACACATTTTCATATACTTACATACGAGTAATATAACTACAACTTCTAATTTAATTAAACAGGGACATAATAACAACACCTTCTTAATAAATGGGAAAATAGCGCGTGTCGGCACCGTTTCCTAATTCCCTCAAAACTAATGGCATAACACACTCATTCATACATAGACAAGCATTAACCCTTAGAAATGCACAGGTAAACATTAACCCTTAATATTTTCTTCAACTTACGGGAACATTACTACGGGAATGTTACGGGAACATCACTACGGAAACGTTACGGGAACATCGGGAACATTAATCCTTAATATTTCTCCAACTTACGGGAACATTACTATGGTAACGTTACTACGGGAACATTAACCCTTAATATTTATCGCAGGAACATTAATCCTTAGTATTTATCGATCTACCGGAACATTAATCCTATGATTCAATTCCCTACATGAAATCGATCATACCCACATTTATAGAATTGAACCCCACCCTTACCTTGGAATTGAGGCCAACTTTAAACTTCTGATTTCGGTTTGCTCTCCCGACTCTTCTGCAACAACCTTCAATTCTCTCCGGTGGTTAATTCTTCTGTTCTTCCTTTCTCCACAGCCACGTCCTTTTTCCTCTTTTCTCAGCCTTTTTTCTTCCAATTTGATTTTTTGAGCAGTTTATCGTTCTTTTACTCTTTCTCCCACAACTTCTCTAATAACTCCCTAATTCCCTTCATTCTCTCTACTACTACTACTACTACTACTAATAATAATAATAATAATAATAATATAATATTACTACTAGTTATTAAATTATCATCATTATTAATTATATTATATTATTATCAAACTCAATGATTTATTAAATGGTTTCCTATACTTCAAGGACACCCACCAACGCTCTCAGACACACTCCCACATAAAGGCACACCAACCATTCATAAATAATTTAATTAAAATGAACGGGCGTTACACAAGTATGTAAGAATCTCTTTTATTAAAATAATTTGTACTTTATTAATTTTGCTTCTTATTTCTCACAAGAGTCTTATTATTGATGTGATAACATTGAATAATTATGTTGAAGTATTTCTATAGAGTTTATTTTTCCTGGTATTAGATAACTCTTAGGAACCTAAATCACTTAATTATGTACCTAAAAGAAAATGTTTACACAGTTTACTCTTACAAAACATATTTGAGTTTTACAAAGTAACTTGTTTTTCTTGGCAGCTTTTATTTGATAATATTTATTCAAAACATAACTGAATTCGCAAGAAAATAACCACATACCTGAATTAATAACCTCCTGAATGTTATTTTGTAATGTGTGTTTCCATCAGGAATACAATATTCTATGTTTAGTTGGGTGGAAGATACTTTAAAGTTGCACTTTGAGATCATATATACCACATGTCATTGCAATTTTCTAACATATCAAAGATTGCAATGTGACAGTAGCAGTTACTATTTATAATTTCTATTTAGAATAATAGATACATGTTGATCTCATAATGGTTTGAAATTGCGATTGCAAATTGCATTTATGCTTTGAACTTTGTTATTCCTATCATAGTTTTAAATTGCAGTCTCAAATTAATTTTAAAATGACTTGACATTGCCACGTCATCTTGTATAGCGCCACATCATTAAAAAATGTCTTAAATTGGAGAGGGGATTAAAATCAAACTCAAAACTTAAAAAAGGAACAAAATTGTGGTTTTTAAAATGAAGAGATCAAAACTCAAAAAAATACAAAATAGAAGGACCATAATTGCAAGCAGTCGGATGATTTCTCTAACATTCTTATTTTACAATATGGTTGTAAGTTCTAAGTGCATTTGTTATATTTTATATCACACATATACTTGTGTTATATGTCATTACAATAATTTCCCATTAAGTCAACTTAGATACTTTGGGTAGATAATCGTTAGATATTCGAATTAACATCTTTCTACTTATTCAATTTAAAAAATAGAAAGTATTATCATTAGAGTATTAGGAAAAAAATTGAACTTATTCAATCCAAACAAAGTCACAAACACCTCATTCACCAATCTCTTGTATGAAATTCAGTCCTTGATAATGATAGTAACATCATGAGAATGATTCTTACACACACAACTATTTATTCGGAGATTGCGCAATAATAGATATAATAATTAAGAACTATATATGGTGTTATAACGAGGGATGTGCTTTTCTCTACTATGGAGATTGCCCAATGGTCTCAGTCTGAGGTGGAGAAGAAGAAGCACAACACTTGCTGCAGCAAGTTCCTGGAGGTGGTGGAGTGCAACACACACACTGAATACATATCACCTTATTACCTGCACACCAAAATAAACTTCATGTGTTACTTAATTATCATCGGAAAAAAATCATATAATGAGGCCATGATCAATTCAAAGCTTCAAAATACTTTACCTGTTACTAAATCGCGTGCAGCATCGCACGGTAAAGTTGGAGAAAGAGCTATGGCAAAGATGAAAATTGTCATCAAAGTAAACTTCAACGAATTTGTTGCCATTTCTACAAACAATACAAGAGAGAACTATTGAGAAATATGAATGTGAGATTGATTCTTGTTACTGAAATGATGAGATCTGAATGCGGTGAACATGTGTATATATAGAAATAAATATTAGTTTGACAAAGACTAAGGACTAGTGGATAGAAAATTAGATAACTATGGTTATTTTAGTTGCCGTAACCTTTGAATATGATGGTTGAATTCCAAACTAGTAACACTTTTTTTCAACAAATCTGATCGAAGGTATAGTTAATAGACGGTTTATTTGAAGTTTCCAATTGTCATAATTTAACGTAATGAAAATGATTTTGACTTAATCAACATCAACAAGCTTTGGTCAAGTACCATGCTGTCTTCACTTTGGTTTATCAATTCTGACAAGCAGATAGCAACGAAAAAGTGAGAAATTAAAAATTAAGAATGAATATGCATGTTTCGTAATGGTGAAACGTACTACACATCTTTAAAATATCTTCGATCGATATCACAATCTTCGCATCCACCTCAATCTGACATTTTGTTTCGTAACGGTGAAACGTACTACATATAATAGTTAAATTTTTATTTGTCTTCAGCCCAAATTTTTTGAACTGTATTTTCCTTACTTTGTCGATTGAGGGTGAAGGATAATAGAGCTCCACAACCTTTCAATTGTCTAGGTATCACAAAAGATTCTCGAGTGTGGATTTTAGATCGACAAGACTGGTGATCTCTGTGAATCTAAATTCAAGAGGGGTCCTCTCGCCGTTGAAGTAGACAAAAGTGAGATATAGATATTGAGACATTTTGTGTGTGTTTGTGATGACAAGATGAGGGACACCCATATTTATACAAGTTTTAGATCAATATGGACCTTAGAAACTCAATCTTGTCTTAGAGGATATTCTAGAGATATACTTTCAGCTACACCCTATTTCATTGGTAAAATCAAAGTGTATTCGAAAATGTAGTTCCAAATTAAACCTTGTTAGTGTAAGAACACAAATTGTTTCTTAGTAATATCTCTATGTTTTGATGATAACACTTATGAATTTTGTATTCAAGAATTATATACTCTAAATTTGTTCTAGACTGTTTGCTACAGGTACTAAAGAAAATATTCTTAAAGAGCAAATTTGGATCTGAACAATGATATTATGAAAGACTTCAAAGGTTCAAAAACATCTTAAATGAAGATTTGAACGCTGCCTCCAGAAGAATCTGAGTGCTGTCTACTGAAGATTCTGAAGCAGAAGCCTCTAAAGAATAAAAGACTCTGAGAGTTCAGAAGCTTAGTCATCAGAAGACTCTGAAGATACTGTGCTGCATAAGTATTGAGAATCTGATATAGAAGACTCTGCTCTGATAGAATTACACGCCTAAGCACACAAGCTGCACATACTCTGATTCAGCATAATCTGAAGAACATCCCAAGACTCTGATGACCCAGAAGATCTCTACTCTGGAGATTCTGAAGATCCAGACTCTGATGTTGATAGCTGAACTTACTTAGTGAAGAAGATTTGAATATGTACGTTGGCATATCTCAACAACTCTTTCCTATTTTATGCTAGACACAAGAACACAGACAAAAAGGTTTTATCTGTGCATTCCAGTCTAAGGAAAGTTTCTGCAAAGTAAAAGACAAAAGGCATCAGGCTTTTTCAGCACAGCCTCCAATGAAAAGACAAAAGGCCCCAGGCTTTTCAGCACAACCTTCAACGTTGAGAAGACTTCATGGATCTAAGTGCCTATATAAAGAAGTCCACTCCATCTTCTTTAGAAACGAACTTCTTGCAAAATATTCACAAAAAGCAAATCTCTCAAAAGCTCTTATATTTTATTTGCTGTAACATTGTTCTTAAACTTAAGAGAAATATCACAGTTGTGATAATAGCTTTTTAGAAGCATTCTTACTCTTGTAATAGTTTTACATTGATTGTAAAAGGTTTCCTTAAGAGGATCCAGTTGGGATCAGTAGCTCTTGAGAAGACTAAGAACGGTTGTTCTTAGGTGTTACTATTGTAATCTGTTTGATTAAATAGTGGATTAAGTCCTTGACTGAGAAAGGCAAATCACTCTTGAGAGGGTGGACTGGAGTAGTTGAGTTCAACGAACCAGGATAAAAATAACTGTGTTTGAATCTTTGATTATTTGTCATACTTATTCAACCCCCCTTCTAAGTAATTTTCTCACCTTCAGTTGGCATCAGAGCTCCGGTTCTGCGTGTGCTATCACTTAACCGTGTCAGTAAAGATCCATTGAGAAAAGTTACTTTGGTATATATTTGTTTATCATTATGGGTGATGTTTCTACATCCAATACAGCCAGTTGTAACAAATATGAAGGGGATAGAATCAGCACAAAACCTCCCATGTTTGATGGAGAGAATTTTGATTACTGGAAGGACAGGATAGAAAGTTTCTTCCTTGGGTATGATGCTGATTTGTAGGACTTGGTCATTGATGGTTATGAACATCCTACAAATGAGGATGACAAGAAAATTGATAGAAAATCAATGACAGAAGCCCAGAAGAAGGATTTCAAAAATCACCATAAGGCTAGGACAATATTGCTTAATGCAATCTCTCATACTGAGTATGAAAAGATTACTAACAGAGAAACAACTCATGGAATGTTTGAGTCACTTAAAATGACTCATGAAGGAAATTCTCAAGTGAAGGAGACCAAGGCTCTGGCGCTTATACAGAAGTATGAGGCGTTCAAAATGGAAGAATATGAAAATATAGAAACTATGTTTTCTAGATCTCAGATCCTTACAGCTGGTCTAAAGGTTCTGGACAAGGGATACTCCACATCAGATCATGTAAAAAAAATTATCAGAAGTCTACCTACCAGATGGAGACCAATGGTGACTGCCTTGAAGATGGCTAAAGATCTGAACAAGATATCTTTAGAAGAACTCATCAGCTCACTGAGGAGCCATGAAATTGAGCTTGAGGAAGATGAGCCTCAGAAGAAAGAGAAAGGTAAATCTATTGCTTTAAAATCTAATAAATCTGCTAAAGCTTTGCAGGTTATTGAAGAAAGCTCCGAAGGATCATCTTCTAAAGAAGAAGATGAATTATCCATGCTGTCCAGAAGGATCAACAGACTCTGGAAGCACAAGGGAAAGAAGTTCAACAACTTCAGAAAATCTGATCAGAGAAAGGAATCTTCTGGACACAGAATATCTGGCAAGAAAGAAGTTGTATGCTATGAGTGCAAAGAATCTGGGCATTACAAGAATGATTGCCCCAAACTTCAAAGAGAAAAACCCAAGAAGAAGGTTGACAAAAAGAATAAGGTTTTGATGACAACATGGGATGACTCAGATGAATCTGAATCATCTTCTGAATCAGAAGAAGATTGTGCTAATGTTGCACTGATGGCCAGCATAGAAGATCAAGAGGAAGGAACTTCAGGATCTGAATCTAATTCTGAATCTGACGATGACGCTGAAGAGGTAATGGCTAAACTTACTAAAGAAGAACTTATCAAAGTATTATCAGAAGTTCTGAAAAGTTATAACAATATCAAACTCAAATACAAGAAGCTGAAAAGCAGTCTTGAATCTGAGATTGATCTTCTGAAGACAGAACTTGTTGAGCAAAAAGAAATTAATCTGAAAATCAAAAATGACTTTGAAATAGCTCAACAAGAATCTGAATCTGAGACTAAGTGATGTGAAAACATTTTAGAAAAATATGACTCTAGCTTTCAGAGATTCCTTACTAAGAGCTTAGACAGAAGCAAGATGGCTTCTATGATCTATGGTGTTAGTGGGAATAACAGAAGAGGTATTGGATATGAATCTTCCTCTGGAAGTAATCCAAAATCTGTTGACAAACTCTTCATCAAGAAGACACCTCTGTACTCTCAATTTAAGTTTGGTCACTTAAATGACATTAAACACACAAGCTCTGAGAAGAATACTTATGTGTTTAAACCCAAGGCAAGTCAGAATAAACATTATGTTGAAAAACAGAAGTTTAGACAAACCTACAAACCAACTAACCCTAAAGGACCCAAGAAGATCTGGGTACCTAAGAGCAAAAGAATCCCTGTTGCAGATGTTCTTAGCAGCAAGATCAGGACGCCAGTCATGGTACCTGGATTCTGGATGCTCACGACACATGACAGGATAAAGGTCTATGTTCCAAAGCCTGGAACTTAGATCTGGAGGTGACGTGAAGTTTAGAGGGAACCAGAAAGGCAAGATCATTGGATCTGGCACTATTGGAAATGAAGTGTTTCATACTTGGTTATTCTGAATGCTCTAAAGGCTACAGAGTATTCAATACTGAAACACAGATTGTGGAAGAATCTATTCATGTAAGATTTGATGATAAGCTTAGCTCTGAAAAGCCAAAGCAGTTTGAGAATTCTGCAGATAGAGAAGTGATTCTCACAGACTCTGAAGGATCAGAGGCAGAAAAGGCTAAAGAGAAGGAATCTGAAGCAACTCCAGATGTTATTCCCCTATCTTCTCAATTGGACAACTTACACATTTTTGAAAGATCAAATGTCAGAGGATCTTCTTCCAGAATCAAGGCATCTCACCCAGAAGATGTGATTATTGGAAAGAAAGATGATCCAATCAGGATAAGATCCTATCTCAGAACATCTCAATCCTCATTGTTTGGCTTAGTGTCAATAATTGAACCAACATCTGTGGATGAGGCTCTGAAAGATAATGAATGGATTATTTCCATGCAAGAAGAGCTAAATCAATTCACCAGAAATGAAGTTTGGGATCTGGTTCCTAGACCTAAAGGATTCAACGTTATTGGAACAAAATGGGTCTTCAGGAATAAGTTGAATGAAAAGGGAGAAGTTGAAAGGAATAAGGCAAGGCTAGTTGCTCAAGGTTACAGTCAATAAGAAGGTATTGATTACACTGAAACTTATGCTCCAGTGGCAAGGTTAGAATCTATACGCCTTCTTATTTCATTTGCTGCACAGAATAACATCACTCCGTATCAGATGGATGCTAAAAGTGTCTTTCTTAATGGTAT